ATGAACCCAAAAGGTTGGTGGCCCGATGGCAACGGAAACAGCCATATGATCAGAGGGGAGGCATAAAAAGTAACTCTCCATTAAAAGTAAGATCACCACCCAAAGAAAGGAGCCCCAGAGTGGGAGGGCAAACTTCAACAAGCCCATTGAGTGTGTACCCCAAATGGTTTCAGTAGATCTTTAGGGAGGACACAATAAGTAAATATTCACAGAACAAATATAATCGGGGGAGTTACTAGGTGCAAAAATCTGTGCTAGGTGCTAAATGCACATTCGTTAACAGCAATATGGGGCAGTGTTTACAGTAATGAATTCCAGAAAACAAAGGAACTTCAAGGCAACCAGGTTACAAGTGACAACTAAGAGAGAGCAACCAACCAGGTCTGAAAGAAAGGCATGTGGGCGCTGATTCCCCCCCTCCCCCTATCCTTAATGGGCTCGTTGGAAACTGAGGAGACGTAGTCCAACATTCACAACTCTTTCGGACTCCCGCAGACGCAGAACCAGAGGGAAAGGTGAGCTCTTTATTGTTGGGCCATAAGATTTCCACCACAAGAAGGAATGGAGGTTCTAGATGGTTAGCAATGTATGCCACAACACAAAAGGTTTTATAGAACAAACAGGTGGTTTTTGAAATGGGTCTTAACAGAAAGAATTTTGAGAACTGAAGATGCGTGCAATATTCTAGGCCAAAAAAACAGGATCACTACATCGGTGTGATATATTTGAACAATACATGCATCTGCTGTGACTGATGGATGGAAAGAACCACTAGGCAGCCATGGGGAATCAGAGTGAAAAGGCAGGGCACAACTAGATGGCAGGTGGAGTGGGATCCCAGGCCACGATGTTTGTTCTAAAGGCTTCTAAGATTGGGAAATCCACAAAAATCCTACATTGGAAAGCTAAGGAGTCAAGAAAATGCTATCTATCACGCTCGTTGTGATGGGCGTGGCAGTCTGTTTCAGAAAAGATTTCCAACTTTGGAAGCCCTGTGGGGCAATTCTCCTCCGCTTTCTGGGGCAGCTATACATTTGAATCAACTCAAGGCCAAGGGATTTGGTGTTCGGTTTTGTGAAGGAAAACATGCCAAGAATAGCTCTACTGATTCACATGGGATTGCCTGAGTAGGAACCAAGTCGATGGTGATGGGTTTGGGCTTTGGTTATCTTATTGTCATTTTCTTCTTAAATTTAGAACAGTGGTTCTCAACCTTCCTCATGCCATGACCCTTTAATACAGTTTCCTCATGTTGTGGTGACCCCCCAACCATAAAATTATTTTCGTTGCTACTTCATAACACTCATTTTGCTTCTATTATGAATCGGGCAATCCCTGTGAACGGGTCGTTTGACCCCCAAAACGGTTGCGACCCACAGGTTGAGAAACACTGATTGAGAAGCATTTTCTAAGGAGAGCTTAATGTTTAAGAACTAGATGTGATGGGTGCAAAGGGGTGAGAGAAGGGGATTTGATTAAGAGATAGAAGGGAAGGGATGGGATAGTAGACAGAGATAATAAGCTGCAAAGGTTCTACAAAGAGCAGAAATCTGGAGTAGGAATGGTGAGGCATAGCCAATCAGTCACAGAGTGGAGCCAATAGACTAGTTCTGGGGTCAGTAGACCGTTTGAAACCTTCAATGAAACCATGTCATTCCCTAGGACTCTGGACAAAAGTTTCTATTGTGAAACTTGTTTTCTCATATTTTTAAATGGGTGTCAAAACCATAGACAAAACAACTCAAACCACACGAGCTAATGCAGGTGGATTAGGAAGGTGCACTGGACACATAAGGCAGCACACTTCTTGGCCAAATAAGATATTTTCAAAGTAACAATGAAGGATTATTTTGATGGGACTGTCTAAATTCGTGTGTTAAGAAGAGTTGTGGAAAGGCCCTAATCTCTGTTGCTAGACAAATGTGAAGTTGAATCCCAGTTGGGCTACTTGCTACCTGAGTGATCTTGGACCAAGTATTTAACCTCCCTGAACTTCATTAGCCTCATCTGCCCATCATTCAGTTGCCTACTTTTTCAAAACTTGGGGCAAATTAATAAGCGAGCATGTAGAAATGCTGTCCGACATAGGATCTGGATTGCAGTTGATGTTTTTGTTTTACCTCCATCTGGGTGACATCAGTGCCAGATAAAGAAGAAATGACGCACCATCAATACCCTGAAACGTTCACCTTCCTTTACTACAACTGGCAAAATCATAGCGATAGATTTGTTGTGGGTTGTTTTTTGCTCAGTCTTCAATAAGATGGGTGCCAAGGAACGGAAAACTATCAGATACATACACGTAAAAGGAAGAATGATAATGCCTCTTACGACTCAGTATAAAGGAAACTAACCGAATTTTAAAATGGGGCAATGCATTGGAATCAATGTGTCTTCAAAGAAGGCCAATAAACACATGAAAAGACTCGTCATTAATAATAAAGAAAATGAAAAATGAGATGCCACTTCATACTCCAGCCAAACCAAACTCACTGCCATTAAGTCAATGCTAACGCATAACCCCCCTCTAAGGCCGGGTAGAATTGTCCCTGTGAGTTTCTGAGACTGTAACTGTTTATAGAGGAGAAGCCTCATCTTTTCCCAACAGTAGCAGCTGATGGTTTTGAACTGCTGACCTTGCAGTTAACTGCCCACTTTGTTACCACGACGTCATCAGAATTCCTCCGTCATACTCACTAGGAAAGCTATATTCAAAGAGAAGTGTTGGCAAGGACATGGGGAAATGGAAACTGTTAGATGTTGTTTGGAATATGAAATTATGTCGTCACTTTGAACATAAGTCGGCAGTTTCTCAAAAAGGTAAAGAGAGTTAGCATATAGCACAGCGATTCTACTCAGAAGCCTATACCCCCAAGAACAAAAAACCTTTGGATATGGTTTCAGGAAAGAGACCAGCCCCCAGAAAATGACCTTTTGCTTGGTTGTGTTGGAGGGCCAGTTAAAAAGGGTAAGAACTTCAGTCGCATAATATGCGATACGGTTCTCAACTTTCCTAATGCTGGACCCTTTCATACAGTTCCTCATGTTGTGGTGACCCCCCAACCATAACATTATTTTGCTTGCTACTTCATCACTGTAATTTTTCTTCTGTTATGAATTGGGCGACCCCCCCACCCAAAGGGGTCGCGACCCACAGGTTGAGAACCACTCTATGGCATAGATTGACCCAGTGACTAAACAATGTGCTCAACTATAACAACAGCTATGAGGATGACACAGGACTAGTAGGGTTTTGTTGTGTGGTCCACAGCGTCTCTATGAGTTAGGGCAGCTAATACCACCAAGAACAAAGTTTACACCAAATCTGACACACAAATGTTCATAACAGCATTGCTTGTAATAACCTCAAGTCAAAACCAGCTCAAATATTTGTCAACCAATTAATGAATACATACAATAGAATGGGATAGTATTTGGCTGTAAACATAAACAGAATCCCAATAAATGTACTCATGGAACTATGTGCATTTAAAATGGGAACGGGCAAATGAAACAATAAAAAAATACTGAAAAATAAATGAAGGCATGTTCATTGCAGCCTGACTCTTAATAGACCAAAAGTAGAAGCATCTTACATGCCCTTCAAGAGGTAAATGGCGTGGTGGTTAGATTTTATGTGAACTTGTACCTGGATGAGCGTGCGGGGGTGGATTTCAACCTATCAGTCAGGTCACAGAGAGAATGCCTCCCTGGGAGTGTTACTTTTTCATAGAATAGGCACTGGGAACCCTTCTCTCTGTTGCCCATCATCTTCAAGCTTGCTTGGGTTCTGTGTCTGCCTCGCCATGCTTGCACTGACTTTGGATTCGTGTGAGTCCGCATCGCGGCCTGTGACCGCCCTCTTTCCAGCGTCACACTGCTGTTTCACAGGCCCGCAGGGATCTGAGTGTCAAGAGGGCTGCCAGCTAGCCTTGGACCCATGGACTGGAGTTGCCTTCTTGATGCACAACTATTTCTTGATCTAAAGTTCTTTCTTATACACATATGCGTGTCCCTGGTTTTCTCTAGACAACCCAGCCAAACACAATGGGCAAACAAAATGTAGCACTGCACACAATGGAGTAGCACCCAGCTCTAAAGAGAAACGAAGTCTTGATATAGCACATGGATGAACTTTGACAACATTATACTAATTGAAATATCTTAGTCGTAAGATGCCATTGATCAATAGCAATAGAAAGTAGATTGATGGTGACTGGGGCAAGGGGTGTTAGGGGAAAATGGAGTGACTGGTAATGGGTATAGGCGTTCTTTCTGGCATGATGACAATGGATTGTGGCGAGAGCTGCACAGCTCTGTAAATGTCCTGAAACCCATTGAGTCATGCTGTTGGGTTGGGCGAATGGCTTACTGTGTACAGTCATCTCAACAAAGCTGTTGAAGAAGGAAGAAAGGGAAGAATGGTAGTTTGGCAGATCCCAAACCAGAACTGTCTGTCCTTTTCGAGATGCTGAGGCAACAGGGCTATAGGAAGAACTAACTGCAAGATGCTCTGACCGTAGTTCAATGGCCTGAGGACTTTCCATCAGTGACCTTCCCAGCCACTCAGTGCTACTCTCCTCTTTGGTCAAGAGGCATACATGCATCGGACTATGACACAGGATCCTTCCTCGACCTTGCCCTACTTTGAGATCTCTTACAAGGGGGAACGCCTTCCAGACTGTTTACCCTCGACTTCAGTTCTTTGAGACGCCATGAGATGGGAGACCTCTTAAAGTAGACTGACAATATGGTCACCCAACTTTATGAAAATCTTTATTTTGTTATATATGTGTGTGTATCCCGGAGTTTAAACTAGCGACAGGGTAGAAAATCCTCAAAATGATTCCGTTTGAATTTACTGTCCCCAAAAGCTGTTGCTTTTTGTGTGTCTGCCATAAATTTGTAAAGGGGTATTTAATACTTTTAAAAAGTGTCCCAAGAAGAAGCACCAGAATTCAGAGTACAAAACTGAAACTGAAATCTAGTGCAATACTGACTTCCATACGTGGGTCCTCACTCATCTTGACACAAGCAGACAGATCTGTCCCTGGATGGAGGCCACCTGCAAGCCTGGGCACCTGGCAACAGAGGGCGGAGTTATGGCTGTTAGATAGCAAAATAATAAATATACACCAAACACAGAGAACTTGTTTGTTTTTAAAGCAGATATCAAATTATAACACTGACCCACACCCCCCTTCTCAGTTTTGTGAGATTTTGAGTTAAGCTCACAACTTAAGACACAGTGAAAGATCTCTCCCCAACTATGCAGCAGGGAGAGCTAGATTAGGAACCACAGAGAGCCAAGTCAAAAATGAAAATGAAACATTTGCAATTCAAAGTCTTGCTCCTCACCCTCGGTACAGAAAGGAAAATTACTGCAGGTGGACAGTGCCGCAGACTCAGTTGACCTTTCTGCTCGGCGTCATTGCTTACAAAGGCAGGGGAGCACACCTGAATATCAGGAGTAGGTACAGCGGCGGGGGTGGTGTGTGTGTGTGTGTATGTGTGTGTGTGTGTGCAGGGATAAGTTCCTAAAGACTGTCAATATTCTGAAAATATAGAAAACTGGTTCAAAATCTAGATGACAAAAAATTTTTTTAAATACCTAAGTTACTTAGAAATATGTAGTATATTTCTAAAAGTGGAAGACATTGTAGGTAATTTGTCTTATAACCTGTAGATGTATACTGGAAACTTTAAAGCATTATACAAGGAACTTCCTTCAAGAAAACAATCGATCGTTTTGTAGTTCTAAAATTGGTGTTTTCCAGAAAGTTAAAGAATTTCCACTAATAAAGAAACTGTGTTATAATCTTGGGATACTGAAATCTAACTGCTTAAGAGGTTGGACGATGGGCACAGGCCACCCATGAAGGGCAGGGGGCGCAACTCTGGCTCTTTCAGCTTACTCTTGTCCTCTTGTCACATCCCAAGGAGCACACTGTATTTCTCCGTAGTTTGGGCTTTCACAGGAAGCATGGATTTGGTTGGCTACATGTGTCAATCCTAGTGCTGGAATTCTTGTAAAGCTATCCAGATGTAAAGCATCTGCAAAATAGGGAAGAATGAGAATAGAGATTAATTTCTGGTTTAGACTATCTTAGAATATCGATTCTTCTCCTCTTGAGAGGGTGGCCATTCTTGAAAAAGCAGAGGTGGCTCCAGTGATCCACACTGTAGCAGAAACACGTGACCCCTAGCTATCGCCCTGGGGAGGGGTGATGGGTAGTTTGGGCCTTTAAACTCAAAAAGGATGATCTGACAGCTAAAATCACACCTAATTCACCAAAAAAGCTGAAAGCATGTATCTAGCTATATCGGGTGGTAATACCATATATTAAATAAACAAAAATGGACCAGAAATACTCATGCCCCAATAACCAGAGGGGTGAGCAAGCCAAATGTAGTCACAGCCACCTGCTTTGGGTGGGAGATTTTATTAAAGCACAACCACACGCATCAATTTCCCTAACTGTCCCTGGCTGCTTGGTGTTACAACAGAGTTGAGCAGTGACCCAAAAGATCATACAGCCCCAATGCCTAAAATATTGACTACCTAGCTCTTTACATAAGAACTTTATCATCTCCTAGAAAAGAAAAGGGTTGGGCCTCATGTTTAGAACCCATCAAAGTTCTTTTGGGGAAGACATCTCGCTATGTCCGAGGAGTCTGGTAAGCAGGAGAGTTTAATGCAGAGAACCTTGGCCTTGGAGTCTATCAGTCATTCATATCCTGATTTTGTCCCATAAGGAGTTATGTGATCTTGAATAAACAACTAAACCACTCTGAGCATCAATTTCACTACAAATAAAGCAGCACATGGCCTTGGGCAACTTATTAAACCCATGTTCCTTCATCTCCTCATCTTTCAAATAGGAATTACATTAGCATCCTCATCATAGTTGTTGTTGTTGTCGGGTGCCACTGAGTTGGCTCTGACTCCTAGCCACCCTATGTACAACAGAACGGAACATTAGCAGGTCCCGTGCTGCCCACACAGTTGCTATGTTTGAGTCAACTGTTGCAGCCATTGTGCCAATCCATCCTGTAGAGCAGTGGTTCTCAACCTGTGGGTCGCAATCCCTTTGGCAGTCGAATGACCCTTTCACAGGAGTTGCCCGATTCATAACAGTAGCAAAATTACAGTTATGAAGCAGCAATGAAAATAATTTGATGGTTGGGGGGGTCACCACAACATGAGGAACTGCATCAGGCAGGTTGAGAACCACTCCTGTAGAGGGTCTTCGTCTTTTTCCACCGCCTCTCTCCTTTATCAAGCATGAGAGCCTTTTTCAGGACCTGGGCTCTCCTGATAACATGTCCAGAGTACAGGAGATGAAGTCCTGTCATCCTTGCTTCTAAGGAGCATTTTGGTTGTACTCTGAAGCCAGATTTGCTTGTTCTTTTGTCAATACATTGTACTTTCAGTTTTCTTTGGCAGCGCCATAATTCAAATGCACCGATTCTTCTTTGGTCTCATTACACGGTCCAACTTCCACTGCCTTCATAAGCATCATGAGGCGATTGAAGGCACCATGGCTTCTGTCAGGCACATCTTAGTCCTCAAGGCCACGTCCTAGCTTTTCAACACTTTAAAGAGGTCTGTGCAGCAGATTTACTAAACGCGCTGCATCTTCGGATCTCTTGACCACTGCTTCCCTGAGTATTGATGGTGGGTCAAAGCAAGATGAAATCTTTGACAAGTTCGGTCTTTTCTATTGATCATGATGTCACCTATTGGTCTGGCTGTGAGGGTTTTGGTTTTCTCTACATCAAGTTGTAATCCTGACTGAAGGCTGTAATCCTGATCCTCAATCAGCAAGTGCTTCAAGACCTCCTCACTTTCCATTAGCAATGTTGGATGACAAAGATTGTTTATAAGTATTCCCCACACCCTGATGCTGTGTTCTTCTTCAGATAGTTCAGCTTCTCGAATTATTTGCTCAGCATATAGATTGAATAAGGAGCCCTGGTATCTTGGTGGCTGAGTTGAGCTGCAATCCACAAGGTTCCAGAGTTTGAAACCACCAGTCACTCTGAGGGAGAAAAATAAAGCTTTCTACTCCCCCAAACAGTTATAGTCTCAGAAATTTTCCAGGGAAGTTCTACCCTACAGGTAGGGTTGCTGTGAGTTTGTTTTTTTAAAATAAATTCAGTAAGTATGGTGAGGGATGTAGTGACAAATAAGTTGATAGATTAAAAGACTAGAATTGTGCCTGGGACATAGCAATCACTCTTTAGGTATCATCAGTGTTGTGTTTTGACTATCTCTGAGTTATTGTGAGTAAAGTAGTAGTTATGGGTTGGGCTGGCAGTGGTTATGGGCCATCAGTTCAAAGGCAGCAGCAGAATATGTAGCTTACTGCTGCCTGCCTCAGAGGAGAGGTTCAAACGATGATGAAATGAATGTAAGGCGATTGAACTAAGTACTCAAAACATTTTTATATCAAAATCTAACTGTGACTAATTTTTTCCTCCCAGTTAAAACATATTCTCTCTCTCTTTCTCTCTCTCTCTCTCTCTCTCTCTTTCTGATATCTGGTCAGCTGTAGGAGAGGCTATCCATGCTTACCGAGAAGCAGTGAGTACCAGCAGGAACACTTCAAGGTCAGGAGCGTCCGATGACTTCTTACCCCTTGAGCAGTATAGCGCTTGCAGCAACACAGTGTCTGAAGGGAAAATCCAATGTTACTACCTACTCACAGGGGTATAAAGAGCTCTGGTGACTCAGTGGTTACGTGTGCAGCTGAACACCGAGACGGCGGTGATTTGACCCATCAATCTCTCCGTAGGGGAGATATGGCAGTCTGCTTCTAGAAAGATTGACAGCCTTGGAAATCCTGTACTCTGTCCCATCGGGTCACTACTCAATGGTAGTAGGGTTGGATTTTTGAGTTAAAAGGGTAAAAAACAATATTTAAAAATAATTTATCTCTATATCTGCCAAAGCAGAAGGAATGGCACTCGTCTCAGATAACTCTGAAAGAGTCATCAGGAAGACGTATATGCTAATGATCTCAGGTGAAAAAAAGACATTCATGCTTTTGAGAAAAAGTTAGTGTATGGTATACTATTTTTTTACACCACATAAAATATACAATATTTTAATAAAGCATAATTGTAATTAAAATACGTTTTGATAATTCAATAGAATTATAGCATCATTCCCGATAATCAACTCTTTGATAAAAACCATATTTGTTCTTACTGAGGCTTTCAAGAAAGACAGTGGTGAGGGGTAAGCTTAGTTGTATAACACATCTTCATGATGCTACTGTTATAAAAAATTGAAAGTTGTACGTTTTTTAAAAGCCAACCAGGATTGTATATGTATGATAAAGAGGAACAATAGTTATATACTGGTTCGTCTGATGATCTCTCGAAGGAAAGGAATATAGGGATCTAAGAGGACTAATATACAATAGACTTGGAAGCCCTGGTGGTGTAGCAGGTTCTGAGTTGGATTGCTAACTGAAAGGTCAGTGGTTCAATCCCTCCTGCTGCTCCAGGGGAAAAAGATGAAGCTTTCTGCTTCTGTAAGGATTTCCGGGTCCCCTCGGACCCCAAGGGGCTGTCCTACTCTATCCCATGGGGTCTCGAGTTGGAAACGACTCGCTGGCGGTGAGTTTGGAGTTTGGTTTTGGGGTTGTACATTGTGGCAAGTCATCCCCAGAGTGGGGTTAAGTAATTTTAAGAGTGCAGACTTACCAGTTCTCCTCCAGGAGGCTGACGGGTTTTCTCTGAGCAAGCTGCGGACTCACGGCGAGGAAGCTCCTCTATGTGGCTCTGCGATAAGAAAGCCGGAGCAAGTCCTCAACAACAGAATGGTGAAACGCCCAAAGCGACAACACACGAGACTTCAGACAGGATGTCACCTGCAGTGGTGACATTGGCTGCTCCTTTTCGTGGATTCTAGTTCAAGGGAACATGTTGATCATTGTAAACCTCTACTTTCATTTTCCTCATATCTTGATTGAGGCAAAACAAATAATCATGGAAACATAATTCTGAGGTGTAATATGTAACTGCGAAATGCTTTTAGTGACAGAATGGTGGAGAGGTTGAGACTTATATATTATGGTCATAATAGAAACATTTGTTGGTTAAATTATGTTTAGAAATGACAGTTTTTTTTCCAGTTCAACTGAGTTGCAGGGGACTTTGTAGGTGCTCTGCCTCGCTTACTCAGCCTCGTGAATTCTGCTTTCTGCTTTAGCAGGTGTGTTTGTCTATGTCCTGGAGCAGATAGATCCATGCTATTCACTTATGAACCAAAAAGATAGGAGACAGTCACCAAGTTTCACAAGGGAAAGAAATACTTTTAACTGTAGCTTTGATGGCTTGAGATATCCAGAGAGGAGGAATCCAAAAGGTTATACAAATACGATTGTGTTATTCATAGTATATGAGATTTCAACAAAGGCAAAATGAGTGAAAAATATCTGTGATGTCCAGGAGCTGGCAGGAGGCCAGGGGTGGGGGTGGGGAGGTTGGATGGCAAGGGAAGAAAGATAAATAAGTAGAGTCCAAGATGTTTTATAGAGAATACAATGATTCTGTATGACACTATAAGGTTGGACACATGAGAATATGCATTTGTCAAAAGACACAAGACTGCCTACATAAAGAGAGAACCCTATAGTAAACTGTGGACCTCAGTTAATAATAAGGCATTCATCATGGTTCACATGACAAATGCACTACTCCAAGGCAAGGTGTCAATAATTAGGGGTAACTAGGTTGGGGGTTGGTGGAAATTAGTGGACATGGAAGCGCTCTCCTTTTTGTTTCTGTAAACCTACAGCTGATCTAATAAATAAAATCTATGTTAAAATATGTATACAAATAGAAGAGAAAGGAGGTAAGAACTATTAAAACCCCTTCAAGAGAACTTAACATTTCTTTATGTGATTTAAACTGAAGAAACATTTGAGGTTAAAAAAAATGTTGTTAATGACCTTCTGATAACAGATATGGGTCCAGGCACGGGAAAT